CAGGCGGGTCTCGAACCCACAGGCTCAGGCAGTCCACTCACCTCAGCCTCCCAAAGCGCACGATTACAGGCTGAGCCACCAACCCAGCTGCAAAACATTCTTTAGGATCGATTTATAGAACTGGAATTTCAAAATGAAAAACAGACCAGGCATGGTGGCTCACGCCTGTAATCCCAGCACTTTGGGAGGCAAAGGCAAGAGGATTGCCACAGCCCAGGGGTTCGAGACCAGCCTGGGCAACATTGCGAGACCTTGTCTCTACAATAAATTAAGAAATTAGCCGGGCGTGGTGGTGCATGCTTGTGCTTCCAGCTACTTGGATGACTGAGGTGAAAGGATCGCCTGAGCCCAGTAGGTAGAGGCTGCGATGGCTGTGAGCATGCCACTGCACTGCAGCCTGGACGACAGAGTAAGACTCCGACTCAAATAAATAAATAGATAAATAAATAAGTTAGCCGGGTGTTGGGGTACGTGCATGTAGTCCCAGCTACCTGGGAGGCAAAACCTCGTGGGTGTCCTACTGTGCTCCAGCCTGGGCGGCAGCGTGAAGCTCTGACTCAAAAAAAAAAAAGAAAAGCAGTTTTTATTTAGAAGTAATTGTCAATAATTCACAAAACCTCCTGGTTGTAAAAATCTGCTGTGAGGTGTACATTATTCCTCAATGACGCACATAAATGAACTGATAGGACTGGTAATCCCAAGTGTTTCACTCTGCCTCTGAATTGAAAGAATTTTCATCAAGTCAGGTGATGGGGTTGTCAGGATTTCTTTTTTACACTAAATCCATTGAGTTGTCCCCTAAGAGAATCCATTTATTTGTATTTATTGTTCCCGATCTTGGATCTGAGGGTCCTCATCTTCTAGAAGGAGAACAAGGACAATATCTTGCTGATGTGTGCTTGGCTGCACCATGGGACCAGCACTTCTGGTGGCCCAGAGACTGAGGGCAGGTATGGCTCCTGGGCTTAGCCAGGGGGATCCACTCAGTGCATAGCCCGGAGCCGTCTTGAGAAGGCATGGCCCTGCTGGGAAGCCGCCACGGGGAATGTGGAGGAGGAGCAGAAATGGCACAGAAAGAAGATCGAATCCTGCACCTACTTAACGGGAATGTTCACAGACACGACACCCAGTTGCCAACACCCCCGCTGAGGGTCACTGATTTGACACATCCTTTGGTTTCTTGAATGTGCCGTGAGAGCTGGTGGGCCTCCCTCCGAGAGCAGCTTCTGCCTTCATGCCAGCGTTGTCGGAGACAGTTACAGCGGCCTAGGACAAGTGCTCTCGTGGAGAGAGGCCTGAGTACCCTGGGAGCCTGTCTGAGGGCTTGACCCAGGTTTGGAGATACCTGTTGGGAGGGCTTCCTGGAGGAAGCGATGTTTAGACATTGTTCTCCCCTGAAAGTCAGAGGTGTGACAGGTGGAGGGAAGAGCACTTGGTACAGAGAACATGGTACAC